TTTATTCATGTGTCAACAATATACTCAAATTGTCATATAAAACATATCGAAGAACGGTTATATTCGTATCCCATTAATCATAAATATCTTATCATGTTCGCACGTAACTTACCCGAAAACATATTCGAGGAGAAAATTTCTAAGTAATTCTTCTATTCCGAATATAATAAAGTATAGTTAAATATATTAATATAACTATAGAAAATCAACTTATCATTTTTGAGCAGAATCGTCTCACAATGGCCGAATACATATACATTCACGAAGGCGATTGCAGAAAGTCTCTTTAAAAACGAAAGCGGAGATTTACCAATTGGAATATTTCGACCTGCAATAAGTAACAATACAATTAATTATAAAAACTAATAGATTTTTTAGCGAAGAGTTTACTAAATTCCATTCCTGTATAAGTTATATATAGTACAACTATTTTCACCGTTTTGCACGATTAGTTTGCAACACGATTAGTATAGCACATACAGGGTATGTCTTAAGTACGCTTTCTCAAAAAGATTTCAAGAAATGATTCCTCATACAAATTCAAGATGAAAATTTTATATGACTAAATGTCCGAAATGGTTTAATTTCAAAGATACATGATCAAATATGAAAAAAATTTTGTTTTTTCCAAAAATTTCAAAAATCATTCAAATATTTTTTAAAAATGTTATATATTTAACAATATGGAGCCTATTATCTTTTCGGGCTATACATTATTTTTTTATTCAATTGAAGATGGACTCAAGGATAAGCGTTTTACAAAAAAAAATTGATACGCCGCTTTTTATTTTAATTAAAAATCTTTTTATGATAATTAGGATAAATGAACAGAAAAAGGTCTCTTAAATATTTTCAATAGAATAAATCATTTCTGAGAAAAAAAATAAATTCAAATTTGTAGCCTCCAAAATCATTTTATTTGATTATGATTTTATTATGATTTATTTGATATTGATCTCAGAAATGATTTATTTTAAAATATTAAATAAGAAACATTTTTTTTACTAATTCCCCAATGCTTTCCTGCTGATATCCTATTTATTATAAAAAAATTTTAAAAGTAAAGAATGAATCAAATGACAATCAATTTTTTTCATAAAAAAGTGTACCCGCTTTATCTTTGTGTCTATTGTTGATTGAATAAAAAAAATGTATAACCTCGAACGATGATCAATTTCATGTCCTTTAAACATATATTAGTGTAGTAAAAAGAAATCCTTTATTTTTCCATTCAATTTCATGCAAAAATAATGGATTTCTTTTTACTACACCTAATACGTATAACCCTACTGAAAAAAACGTTTCAGTTGCATACAATCAATATGATTTACATGTTTTAATTACAATCAACGGATTATTCCAAACCAGTACATGATTTTTTAAAATTACTTTTTTTAAATTAACTATTTTTTTTAAAATAATTTGAAAAGACACATAATGATATGTTCTTTTTTCTTCTATTTTTATCATTCAATTCTTTTAAGATTTGACAACTGTAAAAATCATATGATGGATAAAATTATTTCTAATATCATGTGATTTTGAAATTACGTCATTTAAAAAAAAATCACATATTGATTTGGAACAATTCGTTACGTAATTTGTATGTTTTAATTACACGATTTTATGTAACGTGACATAATTTTTTTCCGTAGGGAAAGTTTCATTAAAATAATCTGAATGATTTTCGAAATTTTTAGAAAAAAATGACTTTTTTTTTATTTTGACATCATATATATATGACATCACATACGTTTGAAATTAAGCTGTTTCAAAACCATATAAAATTTTTGTCTTGAGATTTTCTTTCCTTGAGGTAAATTCTTTTGTGTGGGGAATCACTCCTTAAAATCTTTTAGCGTATTTAGGACACATCCTGTATAATGTGAAAGTTTATAATTTAAAAATAACTATAATTTAAAAATAACTATAAGCAACCGTGGAATGTGTGAATCCTTGCATACGAATACGTTTAATTAAATTTAATACTTGTGCGTCTACGCAGAGAAATAATTGAAATTCCTTTTAGTTATATCTAGCGCCAGTGAACCACTTGTCGGATGGATCGACAACATATATGGACCATCAGGTTTCGTAATGAGTTTGCTACTTGGTGTGGCAAGATTTATACATTGTAATGGCAATCACAAGGCGAATATAGTGCCTGTTGATTTTACTGCAAACGCTTTAATTGCTAGTGCGTGGGATGTCCATAATCAACACGGGTATGATCAAGTTCATGATTTATATTATTATAACTATAAAAAAGAAAATATGAGGAACATAATGAGTACATAAGAATATTATGTAATGTATTCAAAGAAAACAATTACATATGTAGTATATAATATATTTCGACTATACAAGTTGTCTCGAAATTTGCGAATATTACAGTAAGAAAGTTTTCAAAAAATTAAATAAAAAAAGTTATTTGTGAATGTTTATTTTAAAAAATAATTTATGAAATAATAAAGGTTTGGCCAATTATTTAACTCTTATATAAAAACCTTTACATCTCACAAACTACTGCTTGAAATAAAAATTCACAAATAATTTTTTTACTTAATTTTTTGAAAACTTCCATTCCATCTGTCCATCCATCTGTGGTATTTTGATTCGCGAATTTCAGGATATCCTGTAGAGTTTTTATTAGAACAAAATATTATAATCCTTATAAGCTCCTTATTTTATTAAATCCTTGGTAGTCTAAAGGCTTTAGAACGTTCGTATGAAATACATGAGATCCAGGTTCGACACCAGATCGATTAATAATATTTTCCGCAATAAATTTATTTACAATTTTTCAGCATATCTTTTTAATAGAGTGCTTGATTGAGCATCAAATTATTAAAATTGTTTGTCAATTTAATTCGTGATATTTACAGAAGTTTAATTGCGTTTATAAGTTCGAAAAACCAATTTGGCGCGCAGTTCGAATTAATGACTATATATAAATATGATATATATATGTGTATATCTACATATATATATTGTATATATGTATTGGGTTATCCGGAAAGTGCCGATTTTGAAGAAAAATTGAAACGCAGAAAATTTAAATTTTAATATACATTTATTAAATTTAAATCTTTTGCGGCACGAACTTTCCGGACAACCCAATAGTAATTCAAATTGAATTATTTAATTAACATTAAAAATCTAATTTTGGCCATTCTATTTCTTATTATTGAGTATTCAAATGTATGGGTCAGTAAGATTTTTATTGTTTATTTAAATGCAAATTTACGTTCTAGGCGGGTCAAGGATATGTTAATTTATAATTTTGTTCCGCCAATCGATGGGCCTACTTGGAAAGAATACATTTATGTACTACTTGACATCAATAAAATGTATCCCTTGCGTAATGCTATATATTTACCATTAATGACTTTTTTCAAACATGAGATATCATACAGATTTTGCGTTTGGTTCGGTCATTTTCTTCCTGCTTTACTTTTGGATGCTGCCAGTATCTGTATTGGACGTAGCCCGAGGTATCAAAGGCTATTGCACATAAAAGTTCTAATCGTAATTATAAAACTGTAAAACTGTAAAAAGCAATAAATTGATTGGCTACTGTGTTGGAGCTAAGAGCTGCTGCATCCTGGGGGCTTATTATGATTCTTTAGAGTGAAAATTACAAAAATAAGTAAAGTCATTAGGTGTTAACCAATGAAATTATAAATATTCTAAATTCGATCACTTTCATAATTTTCACCTCATTTCAAAAACCGTAATAAGCCCTCTGTATGCAGAAGCAATGCGAGTGAAACGTCATAACCATGATGGAAGAGATAGCATGGTACAGTTGGACGGTATATCTCTCTCTAAATTTTTGCCCTCTCTATATGTTCATGAGTTTCAAGAGCTACAACTGTGAAATGCGAAACATGAAACGCTATTCATAATCCGTTTTTATTTTAAAACTGTCTTAATATAACTTCCTAATATAATGTCTTAACATGTTAATACAGTCCTCGGATTGACTTACGACATCTTAAGACTTGTACTTAAGACAGTCTTAAAATAAGAATCAATTGTGAATACTGATTCATGTTTCGCGTTTCATATTGTAGCCTTTAGTTGAAACTCATGAACATTCATAGACAAAGATCCATGTTTCGTGTCGTGAAGTTGGTACTGAATCTTTTCTTGCATAAGAAAATATTGGTAGATTTTCGTCTTGCCAAGTCACACAGCCTTGATAGTTTCTTTGTTATGCTTATAATATTTCCTTTAAATCTCTTACAATTATGACTAAAATTTTTACGTGCATTGACCTTAAATATAAATACTGTGTCTATTAATGGGTGCATTTAGTCTATCAATCATTCATTGAGCGTTCGGTGAACGATTATAGTACTGAATATATCCATTATATTGGCCTAGTTCGATAACTCACGGTTAATTCTTAACCAAAGTACAACTCGTTTCTCATCTCTTTCGAATTCTAGAATTGGAAAGAGGCAATGAATAAGTTGAACCTCGATTAAAAGTTAATCATGAATTGTAGAAGGAACTGGACTTTAATGTATATATCATAATAGTTTCTATTTAAATCAAATAAAATTACACCGATAATATGAATAATTTTAACAATATTCAATATATTTCAGAATGTGGAAGTTATATATGAAGGTAGATAAATTTAGTAAAGCAATCGAACCTTTTAGTAACACAGAATGGAATTATTCTACTGACAATATTCAATCAATGTGGGATAATCTCAATGAGAAAGATCAACAATTATTTAAGTTTAACATGATGGAATTTAATTGGACAGAATACTTAATTAATTATTATCAGGGCATACGGTTCTATCAACTTAATGAAAATGATAGTATGTTAAAAGATAGTCGTATGAAATATGCAAGGTAATAAATCTCACTTTCGATTAATCTTAAGTTTCTCGTTTTTATTTATAGATAAAATATTTAATTTTAGGTTTTATTGGATACACCAAACCATCAAAACTATATTTTTCTTTATAATCTTTTGGATCATCTGGTTTATGTTTAGAGGAATGTTCGAATAATATTTGCTTTAAATACGATATTTTAAGTATGTTATCTCGTCATTATTTTATTTTATAAGATTTAGTAATATTTTTAAATAGTGTTTTTAAATAAACTAATTGCATCATATATGGCCTACTTAAGTTTTGTGATCTTTTTGTAATCTTTGCTCTTAAATTAAAAACTGATGATCAAAAGAAGGAACCTTTCTGAACATTAAAAAGTATGAAACATTTCAATACTTAAATAAGTTGTGATTTAAAAAAAAAATTATAGCACTTAAGTCATATTGGATACACACGTATACCACCTTGATCAAAAAGTTCTTGGAATTACCATCAGGTGATGCTCTGAGTCAGCTGATTTGAGTTCTGTTTTTTTGGTTAGGTTGCATCTATCATTGACATTCCCACCAAATTTTATCACCATAGCTCGACATTTGTAAAAGTTACGCCATCTTGAGTACATCTACTTCTGCACGTATTTTCGATTTTTTACAGTTTTAAAAATGGAATTGAATTTGCAACAACGAGTTTGTATTAAATTTTGCGTTAAAAATGGATTCAATGGTGTGAAAATCTTGGAAATATTGGGAAACTTCGGCAGTGATTCTCTAAAGAAAACAGCCGTTATGAGTGGCATGAAAAAACCATTACGGGGAACGTGTTTTAACAGCCGAAAGGAGATAATGGAAAAATCGAAGACGGCTCTGATGGCTATACCGACAATAGAGTTTCAGAAATATTTCGAGAGCTGGATTAAACGCTGGCATAAGTTGCAGTCGATGGGGAGTACTTTGAAGGGGACAATATCACTTTTGATGAATAAAACTTGTATTTTGAATTTTCTGAATAAATTCCGGGAACTTTTTGATCAAAGTATAAAAACAGAAGATATAATATTAATAAAATAGAAGAAATCTAACAAAGAGAAAGAAACTATAAAATCCAGTTATTTTATATCTGTATTTTAAAATCTTTCTTAAGTAAATGGATTAACTATAATTAATTATATTCCTTAATAGCACACTTTATTTGAAGGACAATTCTGGTAAACATTATTAATATATTAGATATAGTAAAAAGAAATCCATTATTTTTGCATGAAATTGAATGGAAAAATAATGGATTTCTTTTTACTACATCTAATATGGGGATATTCTCTGAATGTTCTTTGAAACATCCCTTGGAGATTTGTGCTATGGGGATTATTTGATATACAAGGTGTTTAAAATTTAAATGTCAAAACTTCAGGAGGGGATCGAAAAAACTAAGAAAACTAAGAAAAAACTAAGAAAAAAGATCGTGTAGAGATATGCTCGTTTTTACTTCGTTTTGGAAAAAAATTGCAAAAAAGACAAAACATAGTTTTTATTTTTGTATTTTTTCGTTACTTATTCACATTGTATGTATTCACTTGCTTCGAGTATGTTCGAAAACATTGCCAATGTCGAACATAAGGGTGTTATCACATGCAGCGTAACTTGCATACTAACGTAATTTGCGTCAATCGATCAAATCATATCAAATATCAAGTACTACGCGTTATTTTAATTGAAGTTTGATTGGCTGAATGCAAGTTATGCTTACGCAAATTACGTCGCATGTGATGACATCCTAAGGCTGAAATCAGATTACGCATTGAAGAATGAGATTGAAGAAAAATTGATGTTTGACTAATCAGAATAAAAGGAGCCAAAATTTCTTTGTTCTCATTGGTGAAATTTCAATCTTTAATCTCAATCTTCAATGCATAGTCTGATTCCGGCCTTAGGGTGCCATATAAAATTGATCAGTCAATTATTTCTCTCATATTGGTTAATTTTCTACAAATTAAGATCGCTACGACTTCTATTAGACCTCAGCTTAAGCCGTAAGAAATTGATCAATTACAGTGAAATGTGAGAAGCATTAACTATAATTTGTTCATTTCTATAGCTTAAGACTTAAAAATTTATTGCAGATTCGGGCTTATAAAAACACAAATTCTCTGCTAAAAATAAAAATTATATTAAAAAATAATGTTGTTTTTAAAGCAGAGAATTTATGTTTTTAAAACAGAAAATTTGTGTTTTTGAAACAAAACCTCTAAGGATATATTTACACAACTTGAACAGTCGTATAAATATATGCATAAAGAAAATTATCCAATCATTTCTCTTATAAAGTCACAGTAAAATATAATTTTCTTCTGGACCTCTCTGGATCACTTTAGACTTTTCCTTCGTCGTTCATCTTCAGATAACAAATATTATTACTATTTATCGGCAGAAAATTTTTTCGCAAACGCATGTCATGCTATAAACAGTACGAATAAACTACTACTATTGTTAAAAAAAGAACATTTTTTTGGAGATATAAATACTGAATTTAACTGGGGATATACAAAGTGTTTATGTAATTAAATTAATTTTGATAAACGGATAAAATAAATAAAATTTATATGACTTTTGAGATTAAAATTATATGTATAATAAATTTATAAACACTTGAAAGATCTTTCAAACATTCTTG